AACTCAAGAGATCCTCCTGCCTCAACCTCCCAAGTACTAGGGCTAAAGCTGTGCATCACCACACCCTACCCCACAATGCATTTTGAAAAATAAAAGAAAAGTATTGTTTGGGGATTCAGAGAAGTGGATGGACATTGTTCTGAGCCTGGAGCAGGACTTCCTGCATATTTTCCTCTTGAGACTGTTTGCAACCAAGACGTTTTTGTTTGTTCTGAGACAAGGTCTTAACGATGTATCCTTGGCTAGCCTGGAACTCACGGACATCTGCCTGCCTCTGCCTCCTAAGTGTTGGGACTAAAAATATGCTCCCAAGACATTTTTACATTACCCTAAATATTCAGGGTCTGTAGAGAGCTTTTTACTACCCTTGCAGAGGACCTGAGTTCAGTTCCCAGCACCCAGAATTCTGTCACCATCTGTGACTCCAGCTTCAAAGCATCTGACACCCACTTCTGACCTCCATTTTCACACGCAAGTACACATACAAATAAAAACAAATGTTAAAGAAAAGATTTTTAAGCAAATAATTTGAGAAAGTGCTCAACATCCTTAGCCATCCGGGAAATGCAAATCAAAACAACTCTGAGATACCATCTCACTCCTGTCAGAATGGCTAAAATCAAAAACACCAATGACAATTTATGCTGGAGAGGATGTGGTGAAAGGGGGACACTCCTCCATTGCTGGTGGGAGTGCCAACTGCTTCAGCCACTTTGGAAAGCAGTATGGAGATTCCTCAGAAAAATGGGAATAAACCTACCACAAGACCCAGCAACTCCACTCTTAGGCATATATCCAAAAGATGCCCATTCATACAACAAAGAGGTCTGTTCCACTATGTTCATAGCAGCTTTATTTGTAATTGCCAGAACTTGGAAGCAACCTAGATGTCCCTCACCCGAAGAGTGGATAGAGAAAATGTGGTACATCTACACAATGGAGTACTATTCAGCAGAAAAAAATAATGGAATCATGAGATTCGCAGGCAAATGGATGACACTAGAAGAAACCATCCTGAGTGAGGTAACCCAGTCACAAAAAGAGAAACATGGCATGTACTCTCTCATATATGGATTTTAGACATAGATCTGGGGAGTGCCAGCCTACAATCCTATGGCCAGAGAGTCTGGGAAACAGAAACTTCATTTAGTGGCTGATCGAAGAAGAGGCAGACTCCCTTGGTTAAGTACTGAGCTGAACTCAAGAAAGCCAGTAACAGAGAGGGAGGACTGATGATCAAAGGGATTAAGACTGGGCTGGTTTAACCCCCAGAAGCAGCTGACCAGACAAAGGTTAACTCTTGAATCCCAGGCATCAGCCTGGGAATCCAGCATGGGACTGATCAAGACCCCCTGAATCTGGGTGTCAGTGAGGAGGCCTAGGGAATCTATTGAGCCTTGGGCAGCAGATCAGTACCCATCCCAAGTATACACACGGACTTTGGACTCCCATAGAACAATGTGAGGTGCACTCTCACCCTGAACTCTTGGGGAAGGGTCTAGGCCCTGCCCTATATGAAATGACAGACTATGGACACCCCCATGGAGGGCCTCACCCTCCCTGGGAAAATGAGGGGATAACGGGGGGGGGGAAGGGAGGGCTCGGGAGGAAGGGAGGGAATGGGAGAGGGACCTGGAACTGACTTGTGAAGCAACCTTGTTTCTTATCTAAATTTAAACTGGAAAATAAAATTTAAAAAAATTTAAAAAATAATTAAAATTGATACATAAATTAGATATATATGCATCATAACTCATAAAAATTATTTTAACACAATCCTTGGTATATATAATAAGTTTATTTTCAACACAAAAGAGAATTTGCATACTAATGAGATGGATTTGTTACTTTGTTTTTACATAAAGTATTAAATCTTGGCTGAATATTTAAGTGTGCAAGGCATAGAACATCTTAGGTGTTTTTCAAGATTGATCAGTGTTTTGACTTTATAATCTTCAATTCTGAGGAGGTCACTTCATATAAGCATGCAGTATAGCATGGCAGAAATGTGGAAGAGCTGTTTCAGAAATTAGTGGAAATTTGTTCTAATCTCAAACCAAAGCTCAAGTAATAATCCTTTTTACTATAAGATTGATGTTAGCAAACCAAACATCAATTTTTAAAACAACCTTCTAACATGATACAATCTAAAGGTATATTAATATGACACATATGAAGAAATAGTAGTAAGAAAATAAAGTGTTTGTTTCCCATAATTAAACCATTATGGGATTTTTGTTGTTGTTTTATTTTTTTAGGTTTATTTATTTTACATGTATGGGTATTTTGCCTGAATGTATGCCTGTGCACCATGCCTGGTGCTTGGGAGGGGGTCAGAAGACGGTGTCAGATCCCCTGGAACTGTAGTTGTACATGGTTGGGAGTGGTTGTGTGTGTGTGCTGGGAATCACATCCAAGTCCTCTGCAAGAGCAAATTCTCTTAACCACCGAGCAATCCCATCATATGTTTATAATGGCAGAAAGCTGTGCATTTACAGTAAAACACTAACGCGTAAGACAGTTTTGGATGTGAGTTGAAGTGTGTCTGGAATACTTGCTGGCGTGTGGTATGATGGCGCAGGGAGAGGGAGGAGGCAAGATTGTGTTCAGCACCAAGACCACAGTGAAGTCGGCTACGCAGCATGGGCTGGCACTACTAGAAACACTGGGATTTACTGTGCAACTGACTTTGAATTTATTTTTGGTGGCGTATCAATGCCTACCGTTTTTAATCCCCACGTTCTGGCACGTGACCCATGGTTTAAGGGTCTGGGATGCCTAGGGCTCTTCTTTGCCCCCCTCCCTTCTTCATGTTGGAAGTAGACCGCTGCGCAGGGGAGAGGTACACACACGAAGCTTTCCTGTTCCCCTCCCGACCACTTTCTAAATCCCAAGTCATCAACCTGGTGCTAGAGTTTCTAGACCTGCAGATGACCAAGGGGTGGGCCTTCAGCTAAGTGTGTGCAGCGGCTGGAGTGTTCACAGGTGTGCTCAGGAAGCTCTTACAGTGTGAAATTTAACTAGCAATGGAAGGAGAAGGGACGGGCTCCCTTCACACCTCCATGCCCTCACAGGAAACTCCAGGTCAGGGGAAGAGCATCTTCTATTGGACAGTTTGCACTCTTGACTAGCGTCATATCTATACAAACCTCTGTTTGTATTCTTGTCCCCAAATCTCTGGCTCACAAAGGGTGAGACATTGAGTTCAGGGGATCAGAAACTAACGGTGAATGGAGAAACTTTATATTCTTTTCTAGACATAAATCATTTGAACTGTAATACAACAGACGTGGCAGAGAAGGGGGATAGAGCTCCACCATTAAGATCAAACAGTCCCTTCAATCTCTTAAGTTGTGTTCTTTGTTCAGAAAGCACAAGGAGCCAGATAGGACATTCTTCTCTTTGCCACAAGAATTTCATCTGCAGAACAGTGGCTCCCGGGCTGCCAGCTGCTCCCCACTCCCCTGCTGTAAGAATGCAGTTGAGGTTGAAAGCTTGTCACCACGTTGGAGCCAATATCCACCTGTCCCTCTTGTCAGTCTCCTTCTGCAAAAATCTCCCTGGGATTTAAAAACTTAAGCCATAAAAGTGGGACTTGCCTTCACTCTTTCTAGAACAGTTAGATACACCCATGCATCACATATCCCAGGATGATGCTGCCACTTTAAAATTGTGATTAAATAAAATAGCAGGTGGGCAGTGCTATCACTAGTAACTGCAGTTATTTCTCAGAAATTGTTTGCTTATTTAAATTGCATGTAGATTTTATTTTTCTTTTTTAATATTTACTTATTTTATATGTGTCAGATTGCATGTGCACACACATGTACCATATTAATGCAAGAACCCACAGAGATTGGAAAAGACATCAGATCCCCTAGAAATGAAATTACAGTTGTGGGCCACCAAATAGGGGCTGGGAACCTAACCCAGGTCCCCTGCAAGAGAAGCCAGTGCTAGTAGCCACTGGACCATCCTCTCCAGCCTAGATTTTATTTTTCCATCAAACATAAAAGAGAGAAAATGATAAAAGGAGAGAGATCTTCACAGTTATAATTTGTGCAAAATCATATCAATAAATTAAGTCTATCATAAATGGAAAGTTAATGTGTATATTTACATGTATTTCACTACATCATGAGTCTTAACCTTCTATACTGGGAGAAAAAAATCTCTGTGTGATATGCATACAATACACCATTATTTTAATACCTTTTTAAAATAGATGTGTATTAATGGGTTTGCTTCAACTTTGAAATCTGTAAATATGTCTGTCTTTTCACCAGATCATGACTAGGAAGAAATGATTATGACATACATAAAACAAAAAAAAAACTTTTTTGTTTTTGTTTGTTTTTCGAGACAGGATTTCTCTGTATTGTTTTGGAGGCTGTCCCAGAACTCGCTCTGTAGACCAGGCTGGCCTCGAACTCACAGAGATCCGCCTGTCTCTGCCTCCCCAATGCTGGGATTAAAGGCATGCACCACCAACGATGGGCTAAAACAAAAAAACTTTAATGCAAAAAACCATTACAAAGACACTTGACCTTCGTGAACCTTCAGTATCAATCCTAAGATGGTTCCAGCTGTGGAGAAGCAGGCAGTGTCACAATAAGACAGATGTGAATAGGGGAATTCCCAGTTCCAAAAAGGTCAGGGACAAGGATGTCAAGAGTCGTTCACATATTTGGAGGCACTTGCCTTGTTCCTTATTTTCTTGTCTTACAGACAAAAGCAGTCTGACTGTTTTTTGATGGTTTTCTTTGCAAAACAATTTGTGTCCAGCTTTTACCCCCAGTGGCTAAGAGGGTAGTGGGGTTGCTGCTTAGCGCTAGAGCTTTTCCCCAGGGCACAGGGCCCCTATTTAGGAAGAGAAAGGCACTGAGTTAAGCATAATGGATTCAACTTCATAAGTTATGATTATACAGGAATGGATTCGCTAAGAGACATTCTTTTTACAGCTATTAACAACATTTAATCCACAATTAATGAGTGCCATGTGCCATGCCGCTGGGATTATTAAAATACAAGAGAACATTAAGTGCCAACAGCTAGAGTAAAGCAAGATGAGTCACACATCGGTACAGGGTTGATGCTGTGCGGTAGTGAGGAGTCAGACACTCCCTCAGCGTGAGCATTCAAAGATGGTGCCTAACACACAGATTCTGACGGAGCTAAAGAAGGTGGCCAGGTAGTAATGATGGAAGTGACCAGGTAGTGACGTTTATCCGTTCTGTTCATGGATTCATCTTCAAGTGTCTCCCTAGCTTTAATATTTAAAAAAATGTCTATATTTGAGAAGCTAGAAGAGCATGCGCCTTCGGAACATCGCAGTGTCGATGCAACCATCTGGCAAATGTGTATCTTCTGTCCTGCTGACACTGAGCAGCATAGAGTAAGGGAAGTCAACCTCTGCAATTGAATCTGCAGTCAAACTGATCGAGAGACAGGCTTTATCATGCCTACGAGAGGCGTTTCTCAGTTCTCAACGTTTCAATCGTGGTTCCGTGACGCAAACGTCTCAGGCAGTGATTTTCTACATCTTGAATTTTGCTTTCCTTCAGGCACACCGCAGTTTCCTTTGGAGAAGAGGCAGCCTTGGGAAGCCAGCAGCTGAAGCTGGGGGCCTTCCAGCCCCTCCCCCACACCTCATGGTCTCCTTCGCCATCAATACCAATGTCCCAACACATGCCAGGGAGTCAGGGAGGGCTCTGAAGTAACGCCTGGACTTAACGAAACCTAAACCAGCCGTAGCCCTTCCTAAATCAAAACTTGTGACTCTGCCTGGCAAGACACCAGATCTCCTTTTAAAATATACACTGGAGCCAGGTATACTGTGAGAGCTCAGACCGCATGTACGAGTTAAATAGTAACAGCTTATACATTTGCTTACCACAACCTCTCGATGTGTTCAAATAATACAGATTACTAAAATACCACCACATGGCTACTTCTCTGCCACCTCCACTGAACAGAAAGCTCATTCAAACGAAAGACTCAACGCATTAGAACATGTTTATTCGTAAGATTATTTTCCAGCTCGGGTGGGAAGCCAATTCACATGCATTCGATAATTTCAAAAACTAACTAGACTGTATCCTTCTGTTAATTACTATTTATTTGTTGTCTTACATTTGGCTAAGCCGTCATGCGTACTGACTGTGCCACATGTTCACATAGGAGTGAATTTGTACAGATACAAACGTTAAGAGGCAGATCGCTGCAGACGCTAAACGCTTGCTATATGCCAGGCCTTGTGATAATCGCCCTACTCATTTGTTTAACAAAAAACGTGTTCAACACCTGGGTTATGCAGCTACTTCCTCCAAGTTGAAACATTCCTTCCTAGAAGGATTTAAAAAGAAAAAAAAAGGTTCCTTTAGACCCAGGATGCTCACAAAACTTACAAGGCTAGGGAGGTTCAGAAGTTATGAGTCACAATGACCCCACTCCCAGCCCCCACTTGCACCCCGAGTTATGAAAGCAGTATCTAACTACTCGGGGAGAGGTGACTTTCTTTGGTAGTGTTGACTCCAGATTGAACAGGAAACTCTGAAGACAACAGTACAGCTTTCCTCACCATGAATGCAGGAAGTGGGAGGAGCTTGAGATGGGAGGAGCTAACTGGCTTTTCATCACCCATACTCCCATAATAACCCGAATAAGCTTCCAGCTCACTAAGCTAAACTGGGGTAGGAACATCTCTTTCATCTATCAACAGAGGCTTACCTGAGGCAAAGAGATTCTGTTCACATTTCCCCTGGAAAAATCACGCTGCAACCTCTGCTGTGTCAGGCACTGGTCTGGGCACTAGACACATAGGAATAAAAAAGGCAAGCATGGCCCTGGTCCTCATGGAGTGTAGCATCTTATATAGAAGACAAACATTTTCTTAAAATTCTAGCAGGGAATTGGAACTGTCCAAAGTTGTGTAACCCTCAGCTCTGCATTCCATGAGACCACTCTTGTGCCCGTCTGCAAGGAGGATTGGGTATGGAAACCAAACCCCAGGCCAATTTGGGCTGCAGGAGCAATGATCCAACGTGTAGATATGAGAGGAGAAAAGGAGAAGGTCTGGATATGACTTGGATCTAGAATGTCACCCGGAGACTGGTTTTAGAGGCTGGCTCCCTAGCTGGTGACACTGTTGAGAGCTGATTACACCACTAGGGCACTAACTTCTTTAAGGGGTCAATATACTGATGAGTTTACGGCTGAATTAGCTACTAGGTGATGGGGCCTAGTTGGAAAGAGTGAGTCACATGGGATGCATGCCTTTGAAGACCATATCTTGTTTCCAAGATCCCCCCACACCCCACTTTCTCTGCAACTTTCTCTCACCATAGGCCCCAACAATAATACAGTCAGCTATCGATGGATGGAAAACATGAGCCAAAATCAACTCTCATCCTATGAGTTGCTTTTCTCAAGCATATACATTTATCACAAAGTGGGGGAAAAAACAGACTAACCGTGTCTTCAGGAAAATGTTTTCACTGTGCTAAACTGATGCAGAGGCTGTGGAGGGGTGCTGCTCACTGGCTTGCTCTTCATGGCTTGCTCAGCCCGCTTTCTTACAGAACTCAGGACCACAGAGGCCAGGAATGGCACCGCCCACAACGGACTGGACCCGCCCACATCAGCCACCAATTAAGAAAATGCCTTACAGGATTGCCTACAGCCTCCATTCTACGCAGGCATTTTCTTACTTGAGGCTCTCGCCTCATGGATGACTTTAGCCTGTGTCAGGTTAACATAAAACTAGCCAACACAAATATGTGTGTGGCCAGGCGGTGGTAGCGCACGCCTTTAATCCCAGCACTCGGGAGGCAGAGGCAGGCGGATCTCTGTGAGTTCGAGGCCGGGCTGGACCGATAGCCTCCAAAACAATACAAGGAAACCCTGTCTCGTAAAACACAAACAAACAAAAAAACCAAATATGTGTGTGTACACACATGTGGGGGGCGGAAAAAATGGTAAGAGGAGAGGGAGCTTCCCTTGGGAAGGGAATGGGGGACAAGAAAGGAAATAGAGTGTGTGTGAACGCTGAAGGGAGAACTCTGTGAAGAGTAGGGGGACCAGCAAGAGGGAGAGCATAGACGAGGAGGAAGCGGAGGCATGAATAACACAGCATAAGGATGTGTATGTGTAGAAAGACCATGATGTAACTCATTTCTCTTTATGTTAACCAAAAACATATTAGTTAAAAATAAAGCCATGGCGCTGGAGAAATGGCTCATCTCTTAAGAGCACTGGTTGCTCTTCCAGTGGTTCTGTGGTTTGACTCCCAGACCACACGGTGGCTCACAACCATCTCTAACTCCAGTTCCAAAAGATCTGATGTCCTCCTCTGGCAGTCACAGGCACCAGGTACACAAGCAATACACAGGAATACATACAGGAAAAACACTCATACACATAAAAATAAAGTCACCAAGTGACAGAGGCAGGTGGATCTCTGAATTTGGCCAGGCTGATCTACCGAGTGAGTTCCAGGACAGGCAGGTTTACACAGAGAAACCCTGTCTCAAAAAGCTAATAATAAGAATAATACATCATCTTTGTTTAAAACCATAAGTTAGGGATGGAGAGAGAGGTGGAGAGATAGCAGGGGAGGAGAGAGATAAAATGAGACTATGTGTTGCCATGAGGACTCAGGCTTTCATTGAACTGAGGAGGCATGGGAGAGAAAGGAAACCAGGTCTCAACGTCTGTCTGAAAGGTATAATGGCCATAGGAGCCATGCAGGCTATCCTTTCCAGAACACTGCCAAGCCCCCTTCTGGTACTGACAGAGGAAGAATCAAAGCGGTTTTCAGGCAGTGACCAAGAGCCATCTTCATGTCACACCTGGAAGAAAGCATGGATGATGGGAAACACCTATTTGTACCTTTTTCCTTTACATCAACTGAATCTTTTCTCCTTCTAGTGAATAGAAACTGAGACCCAATCTCCAAACAAGCATAGCTTGTGAACATCCTACTGTACCCCTGAAACTGACTCCTTTTGCTCCAGAGATTTATTGGATTCTGTGGATTTGAGTTTATTTCCATGAGCCAAGGAAATATGAGATTTTACAGTCTGCAGAGCAGACTCTCAAAACTCATTTAGTTGCTCAGTGATCATGGCCAGGACATTATAAAGCTAGAATTAATGAGGCCAGTGGAGCCTGTTTCAAAATATTAACCCTACAAAAGTGGGAAGAGATCAGTGTGAAAGAGGAACACTTACTAAGATGAAAATACCGCCTCAGCTGAGATGGCTAGGAGCTCCTATATATAGGTCAGCTATGCTTATAGATCAGCTATGCCTACAGATCAGCTATGCCTATAGATAATTCGCTATGCCTATAGGTCAGCTGTACCTATAGATCCCCTAGGCCTGTAGATCAGACATGGACAAGATGGAAGAGCTAACAGCTTGTGTACCAACAGTTAGACTGTCCCTAAAACTAAACATAAATTCGCTGTGAAGAAGGGCCATTTGTGTCTATTACCAACTCTAATAATGTGATATGGTTACATGAACCCAGCCACTTGTGACACCTACCCAAAACAAAGCCATTACCTACTTTCTTTAACCCAGCATGTGAGAGGAAGAGGCAGGCAGAACTTGTGAGTCTGAGTCCAACCTAGCCTACATAGTGAATTCTAGGACAGCCAGGACTATGGAGACCCTATCCTTTAAAAAAAAAAAAAAAGGATTTGCTTCAAATTGTAACTGAGCTGGAAACTTCCTCTATGCCGGGTAGATCCCATGGTCCCAAAACTTCTCTGGGGAAAAAAAGCATCAACTGTCTCACCCATCTGTGAACTCTATGGACAACATACCAGGCAAAATGTGTCCACTCGCAGAATAGCAGCACTACTGTTACAGGTAACCAACTGCTTCCTATTGAACTTGAAGACTACCCCTCAGGCAGGAATCCATACAGTATGGTAGCCCTAGTCCAAAACCCATGACAAGGGAGATCCAAGGCCCTAGTAGGGGACTGAATCCTGCTGTTTAAATAAAATGGCTTGGCATTAAACTTCCCTCTGAACATTTATGATCATTCCCACAGACAAAAGCTACTCTCGACCATAAGCTGAGAATTCCTCCTCCAGTGAATGGTGGGGAACTCAGAGACTTGTGGCTACACAGAACTAACTCTTCCTCCAGAGGATGGTGGTGAGACTGACTCATGGCTACACAGGATTCTATTGCCAGTGAATGGTGGTGACTGCTCAGACTCATGACTACACAAGATGCTGAGACTAGGTGACTGTTGCTTGCTCAGTCCTATAGAAGACATTTCTACCTTTATTCTAAGGAGTACTGTGGAGGAGTGTGTGGATAGAACACAAGAGACAACGCAGGGGAAGACTGAGAAATGCCGTCTCGAAGGCAAGACACAGACAATGAAATCTTGAACTCCCAACAGCTGTGGATGCCTACACTGGGTCTACTAGAATAGGTTTGTCAATAGCCAGATGAGGACAGAGGAGAGGCTCAGGAGGTCCTACATTTTTTTTAACCAATTTGCTACTTATAGATTGACTGAGGGGACTGTCTTCATTTGTGTACCCATGACAACCCTACTAGGCTCCAATCAATAGTTCCAATCTGATGCTCACATAGATGGCCCTGTTTAAACTAACTGGATCACAAAACAAACCTAAAAGTCCTGAACCTGTAAAAACACTGGCAGGCATGAGGGAACAGGGACTTTATAAGAAACAAAGAGCGGGGACAATAATCAGGATCTGTTGTATACATTAAGAAATTATCAAAGAACAATAGTAATACATTGAAAAAATAAAAACAATAACGATGTAAAAAAAATAGCTTTTCTAAGAAATCTACTAGATGGGCAAAAACACATAGTCCTTGAAGCTGACTGAATTAAGTAGTAGACTATAGACTTAACCCATTATCATAATTAGCATAAATGTACACAGACACAAAAGGCTGTATATTCTAAGTGCTGTGACACAGTGTGGTTCTAAATGCATTCCTGTGTTGTCTGCTTCCTAAGAGAAAGCTATTTTACAGATGCAGCCAGCTCAGAGAAGATATGGGTGCTTTTCCTGTGGGTAGAGCACGTAGGTATCCAGGCAAACAGGAAGGATAGACTAATCAACAGGGATGGTCGGGCTCACAGACTGGCCTCCTTCAGGGAATCCACAAAATCTCTTTGTCTTTCCTTGGAAAAATAATGTGAAGTTTCTTTCTTAAGACTTGAACTTTGAGTCTCAATCCGCCATAAGTCACGTTCCAAATAACTTCAACATTGATGAGTGAATCCACCAAGGACTTAATATAATTTGAGTCCTAGCAGAACAGCAGGAAAGGTCATGATGTCATCTGTTTCCAGGTGAGAGGGGGGAAGGGACGGATGGATTAAAATGGAAACAGGGAGAAAAACAGGGTATCTGAGAAATCAACCTCCACAAAGGACGAGTGATCTCTAATGGAGTGAAGGCAAGCTGACTCAGTCCCTGGGAAGTCAACACCTCTGAAGAGTTCCCAGGAACAATAATAGCAAAATTGTAATGGCATTTACTTTATACAGGGTTCTGTTGTAAAGCTCTCACATACATTGCTAACCCAGAGATATCATTAACAGCTGATAATGGCCAGTGGCCCACTTTACATTTGAAGCTACCCAGGCACAGGACAGTAAGTAACTTGCCCAAAATTTCTCTCTCTCTCTCTCTCTCTCTCTCTCTCTCTCTCTCTCTCTCTGTCTGTGTGTGTGTGTGTGTATGGTGTGTGTGTGTGGTGGTGTTGTTGCTGCTGCTGCTGCTGCTGCTGCTGCTGATGATGATG